GCCTTGAACTCATTATGTAGACTAGGCTTTGAACTCTGCAGCAATCCTCCTGCCTCAGCCTCCTGAATGCTGAGTGCTAGGGGCATTGACCACCACCACACTAGGTTAACTGCAGCTTTTATGTATGTGAGCAGAGAACTGTGTGGTAATGGGAATAGCGATGGGTAAAATGGGCTTTTCCCTCTTCTCACAGACCTCATCTAGCCTGAGAGATTGCCAGTTGTTAGAAAAAAAGAACACGAATAAATGTGAAATTCCAAACTGAAACATTCTGTGAAGGAAAACACTGGTGGCTGTGAGACTGTGGAATGGACGCACTGAGCTAGTCCAGCAGAAACAGTTTCCTTGAGAAAAGATTCTTGTGGACCAAGTATATAATTACAGGCAAGGCCCTCGGTTTGATCCCCAGCAAAAAAAAAGAAGCGCACAAGTGTATTTTTCTTTTCTTATCTTTTTGAGACAGGGTCTCACTATGTGGTTCAGGCTGATCTTGAACTCAATCTTTAGCCCAGGCTGGCCTCGAACTCCCAGCAATTCTCCTGCCTCAGCCCCCCAAGTACTGGGATTACAGGTGTGTGCTACCATGCCCAGCCTTATTTTTTCTTAAGTAATAGAAATTCTGGAGGCTAGAAGTCCAAGATCAAGGTGTCAGCAGCTTGAAGTCCTTCTCCTCACCTGCAGATGAGCGTCTTTTTTCTGTCTTCACATGGAATTCCCTCTGTACTTGACTGTGCCTCTATTTCCTTTTCCTATAGGACACATTCCATTGCATTAGGATCCATCCTAATGACCTTTTTTCCTTCTCTTTTTGTTTTTTCTTCATATTGGGGATTGAACCCAAGGCCTTGCACATGCTGGGGGGAGTCTGTTTCACTTGAGCTACATCTCTTACTGCTTCCCCTTTAAATTTTATTTTGAGACAAAGTCTAAATTGCCCAGGCTGGCCTTGAATTTGCAATCCTCCTGCCTTAGCTTCCCAAATAGCTGAGGTTAACCGGGTATAGTGGCTGAGGCAGGAGGATTGCCTAGATTTTGAGGCCAACCTGGGCTACAGAGTGAGTTCAAGACCAGCCTGAACTACATAGTGAGACCCTGTTAAAAAAAAAAAAAAAGGAAAAAAACAAAACAAATAATCAAACAGCTGAGGTTATAGGTGTGCTCCATCCTTCCTGCCTAATGACCTCATTTTTACTTGATTACTTCCTTAAGACCTATGTCCAAATACAGTCACACTCTGGGGTGCTGGGAGTTAGGATTTCAACATACGATACATAACTTTGCCCATCACAACTAGGTACTAATCTATAATCTTTAAATGTATTATTTTGGGGCCAGGGATTTAGCTCAGTGATTCCGCCACCTGCTGCACAAGCGCAAGGACCCAAGTTCGATTCCTGGTACCAAAAAAAAAGTATTATTTTGCAGTAACCCTGTCATCGTTATCTAATTTTATAGATTATAGCACTCAGGTACAGAAAGCCCTTGCCTAAGTTCCTATAATACCTAAGGAATCAACAGAGCTGGGACTTGGACCTAGATAACCACCCACCAAAGGCTTGTAAGAAAATGGATGAGTTGGAGCTGGGCCAGCAGATGGATTATGGGGAATACACCAGGTGGAGAAAAGTATATGCAAAGGCCCTGGTGTCACCAGCTGGCTTGGATCCTTACTTTCAGTAACAATGGAAATTAAAACTAAAGCACAAGGGCCCAGAGATTTAGCTCAGTGGATCCACCACCTGTCTCACAAGTGCAGGGTCCAGAGTTTGATCCCCAGTACCAAAAACAAAAGAACTAAAGCACAAATTGACAGGACAAAGCTTTGATTGGAAAGTTATAGGAGAGATAGGAAAGGGCTCCAACTTAGATAGCTTAGGGGGCACCTGCAAAGGTAGGAGGTCAGCTTTCATGGATTAACTATGGGCTGGGGTCTGTTTGATCGATCTTTCAGTCCTGGTGTCACAGTGTTAGAATCATTATGGCCTAGGGAGTTTCATTCTCAGTTGATCCCAGGTTGAGGACAACGGCTTGAGACTTCTCAGGCATAGTTGGGTTCCCTGGAAATTGCCTATCCTGGTGACTTCGGTCCTGAAGGGGGTGAAATTATGTAAACTCAGGGCAAATCAACCTTGCTCTGCCAATGTTTAGACGGGCACTCCCTGATTCATATATGCAACAGATACAAATATTTTTAATTGGTTCCTATTTCATTAACCACTCTATAAGCCTTACTTCACAGAATTAGCCGGGTCAAATAGTGAATAGGGACACTCAGGCTGTAAAGTAGTTCACACCAGGAACAAGGTGCTGGAGTAAAGACAAGTACTGAACAACTTTTCCTGAATTATGATCCTGAGAAGCCAAAAGGCCATAAATAACTACAACAAGAAATTCAGAGAGAGAGGAAGGGGCAAAATGGGAAAGGCAGGAGGTAAGTAATAGGTGTGGGTGGAGACAGATTGCTTGGGACACACTGTGAACCCTGGATCCCAGGCCATGGGAGATGAGGGAGGGACTCTAGTGAGCTAGGAATCAAAGCACATAGCTCCTCCAATCTGGAGGTGCGCCTGCTTGTGTGCATGGGCACCCCTAGGGCAAGAGTATGGATTAAAGCCTCACTTTCGCTGCCTCTGGAGTCCAGTTATTTGGGGAAGAGGGGGTTACACAAATAAATCCATTTCTCACAACAATATCTATCTGTAGAGCTGAGATCTGACCCAAGCTTTAAACAACAAAGGATACAAAATGAAGTCAAACTTTGTTCTACTTTTAGTTACTTATTGGGCAACTGCAGGCCCAAGTGAAGAGTTAAAGTTTGTAGCAAAAAAAAAAAAAAAAAGCCTTTAAGTTCCTGGTGTCCCAGAAAAATACAAATCAGGTTTTTAATGGGCAGCTTGTAAGGGCCCAGGATTCTGCCTCTTTCCCCATCCTTATAGCATCCCTGACAATGTTACTGTTCTTGTATACATAGAATGGGCCGCGTTTACTCATTTCCAAGAGCAGTTCCCTGTTTACTTCTTAGGTGGATGTCTCCATTTAGTCTGCTTTAAGATTTTAAGGTTTTTCCAACCCCTCAAGCATAGTCTGAAGGTTACATGGGTCCTGAACTTTATTAGCACACTGGGAGATGTTACATTCTCTGGAGCTAAAGTTTAAGACCACAAGCTTATGGGGATCTTGTCTAGAGCTAATGATTAAGCAAGTGAAGAAAAATCACTTTTTTTTTCAAGTAGCCCCCAACCACCTGTCTCCAGCTTGCTAAGGACTTTCTGCCTAATGTGATTGTGTCACTGGAGGGGAACAGAACTTGTCACATTTAAGGGAATGAAAGAGCTGAGCTGATAATGTTGGAGAAGTGGGTCAAGGCAAAGCACAGCAGTCCTTACAGGCTATGGCTGGGGGCAGGATTAGGATTTATTGTTCTACTTGGTGGAAAAAGAACCTCCTGAAGGAAACTCAGAGATCTGTTTTACCTTTTTACATACGAGGAATTTAAGATTTGATTTTTTTTTCTTCAGAATATTACACCCTGGCTAAGCCTCCATATAACTACAATCTTTTTTTTTTTTTTTTTGGTACCGGAGATCGATGACTACAAATCTTACTGGTAAAAGGTGTGCAGGGATGTACTCCTGCAATGTGAGCAACTTAAAACAGCTGGCTATGTTTTGGAAGGTGTGGTACAGGTGAGCTGTAGGATGTGCTGGGCTCCCCAGAGGCAGTAGCGAAGTTCAAAATTTCAATTCAGCCCTCATAAACCTGAAAGGGACAAATTCCAATTCAGCATTAAATGTCAATTGAAAGGCCTAGTATTTTTTTTCTCCCCAGTACTGAAGATTGAGCTCAGTGTCTTCACAGTGAGCTACATTTCCAGCCCATCCCCACTTTTTTTTTTTTTTTTTTAAAGATTTTGACACAGGGTCCGTCACTGATACCTAGGCTGGGCTCCGACTTGCAGTCCTCCTGTGCATCATGTGCCCAGCTAAAGCCCAAAAGTTTTGCCTAATATTTTAATAGTTTCACATACGTACAATTTGTATTCTAAAATTCACTCCTTTGTGTTTACAGTGATTTTTTGGCAAACTGTTCAATCATCTCCACAATCCAATTTCGGGCCATTTTCATCACACCGAAAAGATCATTAATACCCTTTACCTGTCCATTCCTAGCTGTTACACCCTCAGACCCAGGTTTGCTTAATTATTTACAAGTGTTTCACTGTGTGGAAATGAGTTTACAGACCCACGATAACTTTCCAATAGAACCGAGGACTGGACTCGCAGTGACTATGAATATGGGGTGCATATGTTCATCAGCGCATCAAACCATGTCAAGGCTGAGGGGAAGAATGGGATAAAATTTATCTTCGCCTGCCTCGCAAGAACAAGGACCCAAGTTCGATCCGTTACCAAAAAAATAAATAAAATAAAATAAAATTTTTCTTTAAAAAAGTATGTCAAGCCTGGTTCTATACAAGGAACCCCTTCATTCATTCCGAGCAAAACCACAGGTGGGCTGGCCTAAGTGACGCTTATTATCTAAAAGGGCAAAAGGAGGAGCTCCCGGCAGAAGCCCAGGGGGTGCGCATCTGTTTAGCCCTGAACGCATACCACGTGCCAGGACGCGAGGAGTACTGCGTGTCCACGACCATTCTGTGCCCCGTGCGCCTGCGCGGCTTCCCGAGCGCCTAGAAACGGTAACCGAAATTCCCAGCTCAAGACCTATTGGATCTGCAATTGGGGCGTAGGCGTTTCGGATGTGGGCGCCCACATCCCCACATCCGTGTAATCCCCACGCCTCTCTTTCCCTACCAAAGTTTACAAGAAACTCCAAGGATAACAGGCCGAGGACCTCCGCCCCCCTTGAAGCGCCCACTCCCTTATCCACACCCCGCAGGCCGCCTCTCGTTGGCTGGCAAAGGACTCTCCCCGCCCCCTTGAGCCGACGCCAGCAGCCACGTATCACGTTTTACGTGTTTTGGGCCTGAAAGAGGAAGTTACGCGAGACTCGAAGCGCTGTGGGGACTCTGGGAGAATATAAGCCGCTGAAGGGACCAGGGTGGGCAGACGGCATTGGAAGGCGACGGAAGTGGTCGTGCTGAAGAGGGTTGGGAGAGGGCTGCCGAGGCAGTTCCCTCGGCGTCGCTGGGCGCCTCAGCAAGGCGCATTTGCACTCCTTTCCGAGTGCTTGGCCCAGTCTCTCCCCCTTGGCCGAACATGGACTTCAGGGAAATTCTCCTGATAGCTTCCAAAGGACAAGGTGTCAACACTGTCCCCGTAAGTAGCAGCCGAACTCTCGGTTTTCAAGTCTGGGATGTGTGGCCCGTGGACTTGAGCAACTTATTTCCTTGGCTTGGGTTTGGGCTTCTGGGAATTTGAGGCTTGGGACAGGAAGCGGGACCTTTCTCGAGGAAGAGTTTCGCAAGCGTGGTTACCCCTGCAACAGGAACTTTGTGGTTTGGATGTTTCAGAGTTGGGGGAAAGGGGTTGACGGAGCCCCGCCTGGCACCTAGTGGAATCTAGCGTCGGTAGTTTCTGGCTTTCGCTATAAACTTCAGCCCGCAGGTTGAGGAGGAAAACTATGTAGAGTTCAGGGGCTTTAGGAACTTGGTCTGATGAGCCTTCTGACTGGTTTGTCGCGGATCTCTGGGTCTTCAGCGAGTTCTCTGATTCTGGCCCCACCCACTGAGCCAACGAAGTGATTACTTTATGATTTGCTAAGGGGCGGGGATTATCATCTTTTTTGTTGGGAAGAGAAACTGATCGGATTCTACGAATCTTTGGGCAACAGAAGGGTGACCTAATGGGCTGGGGATGTAGCTCGGTGATAGACCTCTTGTCTAGCATGCTTCAGTACTTGGTTTGATCCCTAATACCAAAAAAAGGTAGTTTCAGCTTCCATTTTTCTTATGACATTCCAGATTTCAATCTTTATTTGAAATCTAGGTCTAATTTGCTCAGTAAATGTTTGCCAATTTACTGATATTCTTAGAATGGTGTAAGGTTTAAAACCTAAATGCTAACGTGGTAGAGAGAATGTGGTTTGTGGGGTTGTAGCTGTTTTGCATAAACTAATCATTTCTGAATCCTCAGATGGTACCACAGCATAGCTGTAAACCGATACCTGCGGTTTGTGTAGTGAGGTGTGGAAGGCCAACACCTCAGTCAATTCAACTGGAGTTTCTTGAGGGCTATGTACTCTGCATTTTCTAGACCTTTGCGTATTTCAATATTAGTTTCTTCTCTTCTGCCACTTTTCTTGTCCAACCCTTTTTTTTCTCCAGTTTTCATTTGGGGGGGAGTACATGTTTGCATTACATAGTGATTACATTCCCCATGGGGAGTTGGTACATGTACGGGACACATCTTGATTCCCCTTTTTTGTTGGTTTTTTTTTTTTTGATATCGGGGATTGAACTCGGGTCCTTGTGCTTGCACAGCAAGCGGTAAAACCACTGAGCTAAATCCCCTTTCTTTCTCTTCCTTACTTCCTTTTACCCTTTAGAAAATGTTGATCTGAAGGTAAAATTCTGTATCTGTTTATTTTATACAATCAGCTATGTGTGTGTGTGTGTGTGTGTATGTATAAATATACATAAACATGTACGTGTATATATAGTCATTCTCCATTCTGAGAAGTCAAAGTAATCATTCTCCAAGCATGTTGAAGCTATGGGCCCAAAACTTTGAAACTTTAAACAACAGAATTATTTTATGCTTTTTTTTTTTTGAGTCGGGATCTCATTGCTCGAGGCTGGACACACTGTATTACCCAAGCTGGCCTTGAACTCATGGCAATCTTTCTGCTTCAGCCTCCCAAGTGCTGGGATTACAGCTATGTGTCACCATACCAGGCTGCATCTAAATTTTTTAGATGTCTATATGTATTGGGTCTAGTAATCATTCATCTTGGCATAATTTGGTCCATTATTTAACTCTCAGTCTTGAATTTGAATAGAAGTTAAAGAAGTTAAAGCTTTGATGGAAGAAGCGGAGCCAAGGTGGTTCTTATTTTAGAAGTCAGTGATGACTAGATTAGAAGCAGAGGGGAATCCTAGAGAGAAACTTCAAAATATGTGTTTATTTTAGGGTATATACTATCCATCTCTAATTGCAATAACAGGAAGTGAAAAAAGGGTAAATGGTGAAGAAATTTAAAATTTTAACAGATGAGTGGGTGTGGTGGCACATGCCTGTAATCCCAGCACTCAAGAGACTGAGGCAGGAGGATTGTTCCTAGTTTGAAGCCAACCTGGGCTACACAGTAAGTTCGGGGCCAGCCTGGACTACATAGGGAGACCCTGTCTCAAAAACAAACAAAGAAAGAATAAAATTTAACAGATAAATAACAGGCATATATTTTATGAATCACATGGTCCCTCATTCCTCAAAAACTAGTAAACCTAGGCGTTTGACTTAGCAGCATTATAATCTTTTTATCTTTTTGGAATGAATCATGGAATGAGTCACAAAAAACTATTGAATAGGGGCCAGGGATTTAGCTCAGTGGTTCCATTGCTTGCCTTGCAAGCGCAAGGTCCTGAGTTTGAGCCCCGTACCAAAAAAAAAAACCTGAAAGAAACTATTGACTTGAACAAGTTAAATAGTTAAATTTAATCCAAACTTTTGCTTTAATTCATCTTTTTCTATTTATTTTCATTTTCTTTATCAGTTCAAAATAATTTGGGCCCTTGGCAAACACAGAATATTAACATATCCTCATGTACCCACACCTCACATTGAGCATACATTAACAAAAGCTTTGTTTATTTGTTTGCAGTGTTGAAGATTGAACCCAGGGCCTCAGGTGCTAGAATAGTGCTCTGACTCAGAGCTTTACTCTCAGCCCCTCATATTTCTAAAAGAAATAAAGCATAATTGATACGGAAATCTCCAGAATCCCTTACTTTCTAAAAATATGAGCCATTCCATACAGTATACCAGAGTACTACAAAACCAGCATCCTTATAAACTACCATCCAAGCCAATAAGCCTTTCAAGACAGAAACATAAGCATCCCCCTCCATACTGACAAGCTGGTTGACCTAAATTTGATTAAGGGTGTGGAAACCTCAGAGGCTTTGCAGTAACTGAGAGCAAAGCTACATCCTTTTCCTTGGTACACACACACACACACACACACACACGCACGCACGCACGCACGCACGCACACACACACCCCCATACTGGGGATCGGACTTAGCACCTTGTGCTTGTGAGGCAGGCGCAGCACCAGTGAGCTAAATCCCCGGCCGCAGTCTTGGTTGTTTTTCTCCTTTTAGCCATTTAATTTGGATTCTATTAGAGTTAACACTCAAGAGTTTGGTCTTCAGAGTTCTTAGGTCAGAACTTTACAACAAAAAGGAAATCCTATGATTAATGATGTTTCAACTAAAATCTAAGAGGGTAAAAAATAAACACATATGGAACCACTCTGGACTCTTTGCAGAATTTTTGTTGTAAGAGGTATTTATTGCATCTGGCTTGAGATACAGGTTGAGTAATCCCTTGTCTGAAATTCTTGGGACCAGAAAGGTTTGATTTCAGAATTTTTCATGTATAATATTTGCATAAACAATGAGATATCATGGGGAAGGGAATCATCTAAACACTAAATTCGTTTGTTTCTTTTTGTTTTTCTCATACTGGGGGTGGAACTTGGGACCTTATGCTTTTGAGGCAGGTGCAGGAACCACTGAGCTAAATCCCTGGCCCTGTTTTGTGTACCTTATACACAGTCTGAAGATAATTTTATGTTATTTTTGGTGTGCCTGTGTTTTCACTTTGACCCATCACGTGAAGTCAGGTGTGGAATTTTCCTCTTACTACAGTGCTGTTCAGCCCTTAAAAGACTTGAGAGAATTTCAGGTTAGGGATGCTCAATTTATACTGGAATTTCCCTAATAATTCTTTCCCTTATTTCTTTTTAAAATAAATTATCTTCATAATGTTGTAGTTCAAACAAAGGTTGGGTTGCATCATGCCTGGTTATACTAGGCACGCTATCATGTCCCAGTGGAAAATTAAATACAAAATAACAGCTGATCAAGGTGATGTAACCAGTCGCTTTCAGTAGCTCTTGACTTATTTAAAAGAGAAAAGATATTTTTGGTAACTTTGCACTTGGTTTTTCCCTGTGGGCTTTAGTACCAATAAGAAAAAAAAGTAGTTTTAGCTGGGTGTGGTAGCACATGGCTGTAATCCCAGCATTCAGGAGGCTGAGGAATGAGGATTGCTGCGAGTTCAAGGCCAGCCTGGACTCTATATAGTGAGACCCTGTCTACCCAAAAACAACAAAAAAAAGTAGTGGTAGTTTTTTCCCAGTACCTGGGATCGAGCTCAGGACCTTGCATTTGCAAAGCAGGCTCAGCACCACTGAGCTAAATCCCGGGCCCTCAGTAGTAGTAGTTTTGATAGGTTGGTGCAGCTTAGAATATGGATCCCTGTAAGTTTCACATAGCCATGATTTATGGCTTATAGTACATGAGACCATGAGACAAGTTACATGGTCCCATGGTCCTTTTTTTGTTTGTTTGTTTGTTACTGGGGATCGAATTTGGGTCCTTCCCCTTGCAAGGCAGGCGGTGGAAGCACTGAGCTAAATCCCCAGCCCCAGCATGGTCCTTTCATAGACCCTGTGATGTGAAAATTATCACAGACAAGATATGGAAGCTCTGGTGTGACCTGTCCAAAGTTAAAGAACAAGCCTTTTATGTGGTATGAGATTTGTAAGGATTTGGAGCTCTGTAGTACCCCAAGGATAAGAGCTCTAGGTACTGAAAGTGGAAACCAAGGACTTTAGCTGAGGTGGCAAGTTCAGATGTCTAGGGGCCAGGTAGAGTTTTTAATGTAATTTTTCTCTCAGGGATTCTGTTACTTTTCTTCCCCACAACTACCTACAGAATCTCTTTGAATAATGATGATAAAAACATTTAACATTTATAGTGCTTACTTAGCATTTATAATGCTCACTGCTCTAAGCACTTTATGTATTAATTAATCACTATAATAACCATGTAGGGGAGATTGTCTTACAGCTGAGAAAACTGAGCACCAGAGATGGGAAGAAACTTACCCAGGGTCACACAGCCAGTAAGTGATAGGGCTATCTTTTTTTTTTTTTTTTTTTTTAAGTACCGGGGATCGAACGCAGGACCTTGTACTTGTGAGGCAGGCGGCGGCACCACTGAACTAAATCCCCAGCCTGATAGGGCTATTTTTAACAAAGTAGAGATTCTGTTCAAACATACTGGCTCCAGAGTTTTTGCCCTTTTTTT